AATTATCTGGTTTTTGGTATGACATCCTTCTAAATAATGTCAGGGTATATTTGTGTTATTGAATTTATAGTAAGGCATCTAGAACTGGTATGTTTCATATTTTAGATCATATTAGTGAAAACCAATAGGATTAGGCTCTGAAGAAAGCACGAAAAAGAGCCTCACTAATTCAATATAACATTGTAATATATTCCAGAACATCTCTACCTGCAGATTTGTACATTTTCCACCAGCCTGCATCCTAGCAGTGAATGTACTATAATGAGATTTGGCGAAGTGAACGCTACAGCTCTTCTCCCATTAGAGAGGCTGCAAGGGGGAAGCTGAATTGCCATGCCTGCTCAACAGTGATGTCTCAAAACTTCTCTTTGGGTAAAAAATAGTCATTGAGAGTGATGAGAAATGCAACTCAGCCGTACATCACACTGAAGTCTAACGATGGGTTAGGAAGTTTTTAGTGAAACACACGCAGGGCATCAGAAGGTGCTGAGTGATGGCCCCATTCTTTAAAATATTTTAAGAGGATAGTTTTTTTTTGTTTGATTAGGTTTTTTTTTTTTTTTTTAGTATTACAGAATATGCAAGATATGTTTAGACACTAAGTGAACAGCTTGAAGCTAAGTAATGTTTGATCTGTCTACATTTCTGAAACATACTGTAATATCTGACATTAATGGACTCTTAATAGGTATTCATTTGATAGCAATATGGGTTACATTTCTGGGAGAATGTAGATATTTTTGTACATAATTAAACAATAGGATTTGACATGTATTTGGGATAACTTTATGGTAATATCCTAGAAAAACACTGTGTGGGTTGCCTGGCCACTATTAATGAAATCAACTTATGCTAAAGACAAGGAATAAATGTCATTTCCAGGTTTTATTGGCTGTTTATGTATGGCCTCACAAAGATCCAATCAGAGTGATGTATTTGCATCTGGATTTCTGTGTTCATTTGAAAGTCCCTACTAACAAGTGCATACTCACACTCATTAGAAGACTTCTGGGCAAAACATGCTAATTACTTTCCTGCACTCTGGCTCCCAAATCACAACGAATGCTCTTATAAAAGCAAATCACTGCAAACTTCAAACAGTGTGCATCCTTGAGATGCCATTATGAAAGGAAACACACTGATGGGAAATCTTTGATGTTATCAGATGCGATGGAAACTACACATTTGTATTTGAGTAAGTCCTGTCAACTGAAGCATTTCCCCCACTGTTAAATAACCTGAAACCAATTTCAGGTTCCCAAATGCTCTTCAAAGCAAAGTGCCCTGGAAGTAATGCTGATGGCATTTCAAATTTCAAGGAAGCTTGATTTTTCCATCTCAAAACTTCAAGAAGATTTTAAATTTTACTTTCAAAGAGAATAGATATTACCTACTGGTACGCAAACTACTAGGCTATGGTTTGATGAGCAGAAAGTCCCAGGTATTGAACTTACCTATGTAATGAAATGATGGTGTATAACCAAGCAGCTCAGAGTCTGAATAATGCAGCTTATTCCAGGAAATTCTGAGCTGTGAGTGTTAGATACTTCATGCTTCAGTTCTTTCTTGTTCTTGTGTTGCTGACCAAAACTTGGAAGGTAAACTTTGGGCTATGTGACACAACCACTGTACCTAACCCACCTCCTCCTGAATGGGGTGTCTGTGAGGCTGAAGACAAAAATCAGTGTGTGCTTGACTCCAGCGTGCCCAGGGAGTCTGGGCCATACAAATCAGAACATTCATCCTATGAATAGTTCCTGTAGCGGGAGGGTCGGTCTGTGGCTTCTTAAAAGGCTTCAGGTTTGTGGTCAGGCAAAACATCCATGAGCCTATTTGGGCTAACGGATATGGCGAACCTAGTGAAGTTCCACTAGCATTTAATTTGGTTTCCTGTAATTGCTTTAAGTAAAAAGAGAGGAATGAAACCTGAGGTTATCATCTTGGGACACAAAATATTTGTATGTGGTTTTAATATCCTGAGCCCATTTGTCGCTGCTCTGCATTTGAGAAAGAGCCATTATGGTTTGAAGGAAACACACACTGCAGGTATATCAGCCCTTCGGTGACTGTAAATTTACTGCACCAAACCTTAAAGGAAGAAGTTTGTTTCCAGTAATTGAGTTTCTGCATGAACAGGGAACATAAAAACAAGTAAAAACAGGCAAAAGCAGTAAATGCCAGAGAGTGGGAACAGAGGGAGAAGAGGAAAGTGAGGGGGTGGCGGGAGGAGGCTGTTCTCTGTCTTCCCACAGATTCCTTAATAGTGGAATAATGAGAAAAATTAGAAAAAGATGGGAAATGAGAGGGCTGAGCAGGGATCAGAAAAGAAAGAAGAAAGTAGTGTTATTTGTTAATAGCTTAGGATTAGAGCTGTGAAGGTTGTTGTATTCTTTGGACACTGGGTGAAATAATAAACTAATCTTTTCATAGACAGACAACTGGGATATACTGGCTACTTGAAAATTCTTTTGAAACTGATTATTTTGCAAACCATAATAATGCTGCTAATTTTCACAACTTTAAATTCGTTTTCAACATACTTAATAAAATTTTGACAATAGAGTCTCCCTTTTAGGATCTTGCCCTGTCGTGGGATTATAAAACCCTGTTTTCTGGGCTTCAATCCAGTTCAGGGAGACTTTAGTGGACCTTGGGGTCTAGTAGTTTCTATGATGCAACTGCATCAGCTCTCGATAGGAAGCCTTGTTTATTCCCCCAATGGGATAGCACCTACTTCCATTGGATGGTTGTTAATTTCCCTGAGTGCTCTTAACCATTAAAATATTTGCTAGGTGGTAGAGAAAGTTCTAGAACACTTTTTTTTTCTTTTTTAAGATTCCCAGAAGACACACCTTATCCTATCACATGTGTTTAAACATTTTTTTTATTTTTTTAACTTTTCAAAATGTGTTAAACTCTAAAGGATTGTATACACAAGCATGCATATACACATACATACATGCATATATCCATTCACATACATAAAGGCTGTTTCAAACATTCATGGACAGTGGAATTAAAGGTTTATTTTAATATAAAGAATTTGAAATGCATGAATAGTTTCTTCATAGTATGCATTTTCCATGAATTTTTGGAAGATCCCTCATATATATGTACATGTGCACACATTTCTATGTCTTCCATGTCTTAAAATTATCATATAAACATTTAATTATCATCTGATCCTGTCTTCTACATGCTTAAAACATCTTGATGAGATCCCTGGCTCTCTGGAAGATACCCAAAATCATAAATTTTTTGTCCAAGAATGATTCTGAAATTTATCAGGAATCAGAATTACTTGGAGGGCTTATTAAAACATGGATTACTGGGCCCCATCCCCAGAGTTTCCTCTTCAGTGACTCTGGGTTGCAGCCTGTGAATCTGCATTTCCCAGAGGTCCAAGGTGATGCTGTGGCAGCTGTTCTGGGGCCCACTCTTTGAGAACCACTGTACTACAAAGCCATATAAGCTAGACACTTTCTTATGTATAGTTCCATCTCATAACACTATTCTCTGTATCGGCTGCTGCACTCTCTTCTCCCTGGTTCTCAACCTCCCAATTCTCTTATTCCCATATCTCCTGCCCTTTTCATCAAATAATTTATCCGAATAACTCATATTGGATTTTTCATGTTAAATTTGGTTCCCTTGTTACTCACTCTCATCTCTATACATCTTCTTTGCAATATTGAGCACAGTTATATCTAAATAATAAACCTGGGAAAGCAGCAGAGAATGGACCAAGAAGTCCCTGGGCCCATGTAGGAGATCCAGATGGAGTTCTTGTTTCCTGGTTTCATTCCTGTCCAGCCCTTATGTTACTGCCATTTGGGAAGTGTAACTCCTTATTAAGATGAGTCCCCTTCACAATAACATAAGTTCACTGGGGATATGACTAACTCATCAGAGTCTCACAAGTGCATAGTTCAGTTTCTATTATGTAATTAATGTTTAATAAATATTTTCAATGAATGAATAAAAATAAGTTGTGCATCATTCTTCCTGTGCCCATTCTTGCCCCAAAGCAAATTCTCCTGCTTTCTGTAAGAGTTCTGCTGGTTCTCCCAATGGACACGAGTCTGGAAATAGGTGCCTTCAATCACCTGGAGACCTAGCAGTTGCCCAAATATATTACTCAGATAATTCCTCTTGCGCAATGCAAAGAGGAGCACTGCACAATGAATCTCTGAAACAGCCCTGATACCTCAAGATAAGTACTGCTAAAATGATGATCTGACATTCATAGTTCATATTTTGTTATGTAGGATTATATAATGCTGTGAAATAAATTCCAATTATTTGAGCATTTTAGCTGGAGGCAGTTTAACATGATTCCAGTAACAGTGCAGTTACAAAGAAGCATTTGGGCTTTCAACATATTATGCATGAAAACCTCATTTATTTTTTTGGATAAGAAACCAGAGGGCTATTGACTGAGGCTAGTATTCTTTCAAGATAAATGATGTTCCATCATAACCAACGCATAACTGTTAAAGTAATTTAGTTGTTAAATAATCAGCACTACAATTGTAGTTTAAGGTTATTCTTTCTCCATTTCATGTGAAGAGCTGGGAAGATCTAGCTATTGTAAAACAATGTACAATATATGGATATGTTAGCCATAACTTAGCAATCAAAGTAGGGTCCTTACAAGATGGGAAATTCAAGTTCAGGGATGAATACACAGAAGTTGATAACTTGGTGGCAGGTAAATATTGGTGATCTCTATGGAGGAAGCATTATTTTGTGGAGTCATAGATCTACTCCACTTTCACCTTCAGACGAAACTCAGAAAATCTGAAATAGCAAATAAGAGAATGAAAAACTTGTTGCGTAAATAGTTGGATCCAGAAGAAAACCAGAGGAGATGAGGGAGAATATCTTGGGTGTTGATCTGTGGCATCAAGGAGGATCACTGAGGGAGAAACGTGGTGTGATGTTTTATATATTTTTAGTAGGCACCTTGTCTTCACTTGCATCTGCCTTTCTTCCATCAGGTCTCATTGTCCGGGAGGTGAGCATTGAAATTTCACGCCAGCAAGTGGAGGAACTCTTTGGACCTGAGGATTACTGGTGCCAGTGTGTGGCCTGGAGCTCAGCAGGCACCACGAAGAGCCGGAAAGCCTACGTACGCATTGCATGTGAGTCCATGTACCCAGACACCTTGGCTTTCAGAATTTGATGGGATGATAGGAAGGGTTAGACTACAAAGATCTAGCACAAAGAAACCCTGGTCAAAAAGTCAGGCCCAAAACTTCCAAGATTTCTGCATTTGAGCTACACTTTCCTTTCACATCACCAGGATATTTTAACTTCTGTTGCACAGTACTGAGCAGTTTTCCTTTAGCATGTGAAAGAATTCGTGCCTTTTTCTAAGTATTATGGTTATCTTGTAATCTGGTAGTAATTAGGGCTGTGGGAGAATCAAGTGTATTTCTTGGTATCATTTGGGAGCTTGGTAACAGGATCCCTGAGGATGCTCAAACCCCTTATATGAAATGGTGCGGTGTTTGCACCCGTGTACCTTAAATCATCGCTATACAACAGAATCCTTGCTACAAATATAAATGCTATGTAAATCGTTGTGAGGTTGTACTTAGGTAATAATGACAAGAAAAGAAAGCCTATGCATGTTCACAACTGATGCCTTTTTCCCCAAATATTTTCTGTCGAGGAAGATTTCTTGACTCTGAGGATGTGGAACCCCAGATATGGAGAGAGGCCTACTGTGTGTTCCTTTAATGAGTTTCTTCTGCCTGTCAGTTGAATAGTTTATCAGAGAGAGAGAGAGAGAGAGAGAGAGAGAGAGAGATTACCCAGATGAAGGTTTTATTTCTTTATTTTGGAACTATTCTAGAATAGTGAAGCAGAATCGCTTTCAAATTCTGTTCTTTTGTAGAATGTCACATTCAGGACTTCAGAATGTGCCTTGAAGAAAAGGGTTCTCTGATGGCATGAATGTAGGGAATATGTCTGTGACACATTTGCAGACTTGGCTTCCTGGCGCGACTTCGGAGACTCTTTAATATGCTAATGTGCACAGCATCCCTGAGAGGCAGCCCTCTCTCCCTCTCTGGGGACTTTGCTCAATGCAGTCTTCTGGCACCCACAGCTGGAATCCTGCTGCAACCTGTCTTAAGGTTCTGAGCTGAGCACTGCTATCTTGTAGGAGAGAAGCCACTGAAAAGCACATGTTCTATTTTCTGAACCTCAATACAGCTCTGCATGTTGCTCAATTCAACTTGATGGTTGATGTCGACATGACATAGGTGCAATGTGTTGCTCATTCTAGCTGTGCTGGCTCTGATACTTTCCACACTTGTATGCTGGCCCCTTCCTTCCTGGCTTCTTGATCTAGATTGAACCATCACTAAAGGCACTTAAAGAATTTCATGGGAAACTGGAATTGCAGGATCAATCTGTTTGAGTTGAAAGAAATTTTGAAAATCACGCATAGGGTTTTCATAATACGTGCTTTCCATGAGCTCCGTGAAGACCCCTCACACTTCCCAGAGCACCTCTACAGCTTGAACAATTTCCCAGTTTGTCCTCCCTCCACAAATGCAGTCTTCCTAAAACTCAGGCCTCATTCCATCTTACACACCCTGGCTGCAAGCTTGGCGGTGATGTGTGAGATAAAATCAAATTTCTTACAATGGTGTTTAAGATGTATTAGTTTAGTGGAGCAGAGCTGCCAAAATAAAGTAGCACCAACTGGACATCTTGCACAGCAGAGACCCTCTTTCTCCCAGTGGGATCTTGCTGGAAATCAAGATCAGAGGGTGGGCAGAGTTGGCTTCTCAGCCTGCAGGTTTGCTAGTGTCCTCACACGTTCTCTCTGTGGTACTCCTTCCATGTATCTCATTACGTGTCCAAAATTCCTGCACTTAGAAGGACACCACTCAGATTTGATTAGGGCCCATTTTAACAGCTTCTTGTTAATGTAATTACCTTTTTAAGGCCTCATTTCCAAACCCGGTCACATTCTGAAGAACTGAGGGTTAGGGCTTCAGCACAAGAATTTGAGAGGGAAACATAGCTCAGCCCATGGCAACCACATTGCGTGGTTCATGTATCCAACCATGTTTCTACCTCTGACCTCTAAGGATTTCTACCTTTCAGTGGCATTGTGTAGGAATACTGTGATCTCCATGCCTTTCAGCTGCGGTTCATGCTGAATGGTTTCATCCTTGCCTTACTACTCTTCATAATTGTAAAACATCCCCTGTTTGACAAATATGTAGTGACGATCCCCTGTGTCCTTGCAACCCCTCTGGATGTTGGGGATAGTGTAGGGAATGATACCCATCACACTCCTTGTCCTCTTGGAGGACCCTTTGGAGTTGTCCCATCTAGAAGACTCGTCATCCCTCTCATAGACTAGTCAGTGGATGCCAACTCTTCCTTCTCTCCCCACTGCACCAGTCCACCAGTGTTTGTGGCCCGAGCCAAGTCAGCTCTCCCACCCGAGGGCAGTCCCCCAAGAGAGGGGCCCAGAGCCTCCACCACCAGCACTGCCCAAAGATGGGATCAAAGCCCAAAGGGGATCTTGGTGGATTACCACCACAGTCACTAGACCTTTCCACCATGAATGTTAAGGAACTGATGTTTTTGTAAAGAAAGATCACTTCAGTCACTTTTTTTTTTTTTTTTGACAGGCAGAGTGGACAGTGAGAGAGAGACAGAGAGAAAGGTCTTCCTTTTGCCGTTGGTTCACCCTCCAATGGCCGCCGCGGTCGGCGCGCTGCGGCCGGCGCACCGCGCTGATCCGATGGCAGGAGCCAGGAGCCAGGTGCTTTTCCTGGTCTCCCATGGGGTGCAGGGCCCAAGCACCTGGGCCATCCTCCACTGCACTCCCTGGCCACAGCAGAGGGCTGGCCTGGAAGAGGGGCAACCGGGACAGAATCCGGCGCCCCGACCGGGACTAGAACCCGGTGTGCCGGCGCCGCTAGGCGGAGGATTAGCCTAGTGAGCCGCGGCGCCGGCCCACTTCAGTCACTTTTTAATAACTAATTGTTTTGGTCAAATATGTAAGCAAATTCAAAATCAGCTTTGAATGGCAATACAGAGAAACACTGAGAGCAATCAATGTCTTTATCTTTCGTTTCTACAGATTCATTAATGTCAAACAGTCTACATTTTACACTAAATTGGCATGCCCAAAGTTTAAGAGCTGCATAGTTCCAAATTACGTATATTTAGTTAACTGATTTTTAGAGATTATTGTGCCAATTTCATATGTATGAAATGTAATATGTAAATAATTTTCAAAAAGCTCATGAAAAAATGCATATTATAAAAAACTATTCATGAGTTTTGAAATTGTACCAAATTAAACTTACCTTTGAATTACATTTTCCATGAACTTTATGAAGTAGCCCTGTACCGTGTGTATGTGAATAACTTGTTCCTCATGAAAAATTAAATACATGTAAGGATAAAATTCCAATTTGTCTTTGCAACATACTTTGTATACTTCAGTATTTTCTTCATGACTTTTACATGTAATTTGGCATTATCATATAATGTTTAAGAAAGCAAACTCTTCCTCTAGGAAGAGATTGATTTATCCACAACACCTTCACCTTGAAGTAATAAGACTAAAGAATAATTTTCCTTGACTTTCATAATTAACTGAACGCATATGCATGTGGCCAAGGAATACCATCCATTGTATCTAGATTTATTCTTGTAGATATATTTTGCGATGAAACATGAAAAAAGGTCAAATGTCCAATTCTCTCTGCAAAGGCTGATCCCTGGCGAGTGGGTTCTTGCCAACGCTGCAGAAGGCATATGGATTCTCCCGTCTGCCCTGGGTCAAGTGAGCCATGGTGCTTTGTGCAGTAGCACTTGATAGATGGCTACCAAGTACATGGCAATTACACTTAAATTTGTCACAGGTGAGGATAACCACAACACTAAGGTTAAATGAGTGCAATTACCTTTCACTGAATTAGATTTATGCTTATTAGGTGTACTATGGTGGTGCCCATTGTTCCTTCATGAAAAAGCTCTGTTTTTATGTTTAGCAAGTAGAAATTAATACAGACCACTCACTTAATTGTCTTACAGTGTTTCCTTCATTTAAACTATTTAAGATATGAAAATCACTTCATGAGACAAGAGGGTCAGAGAGGAAAAAAATGGAAATAACAAAAGTTCAAAATCAGCCAGGCACAAGCTAAGAGCATAATATGACTACTGGGGAAAGTGCCAGTTTTTTAGGTGGCTATTCTAGCTTCCATTGCAGACAGATGTGTATTGGGAGGGAACTCAGGTTGACACTACAATAGCTGTCCTAAATAGAACTCTCATGGGCATACAGCTGGCAGTGTCCTAGAGTTGTTTTCAAGAGTCTCTTATTATAGTCCAGTGGGAAAACCCCCAGTGTGCAAGGGGGTATTAAATAAAATTTCTAGGAAGCTGCTATATTATGAAATATACCTTTGGTTTGTAGCCCTATTCCCTTCCACGTAATTCCTGAAAGTCTTGGAATCTCTGTGAGAGTGTTTTGGAAGCGAAGAGTTGGCTAATGGCTCGATGTCCCTGTTGGGTAGCTTCAGGTCAGTCACTGGAAAGACTCACACAGGATTAGAGGGAGTGGAGAGGAATGAAGGTTAAACTGATTGCTGATAGCCAATTATTCAATCAATTGTGTCCTTTGTAACTGGGCCTCCAGACCTCCACAAACACCTGAAAGAACAGGTTCCTGGAGGGCAGCACGGCCTTCTACACCTGACAGTACATCTCTTCATATGTGTCTCTTTGTGTAAAAAACTGGAAAACATAGGTACTTCCTCCGTGTAGGCTGCTCTAGAAAATTAATCATAGCCAAGAAGGTGCCACGGCCACCTCCTTGTGGACAGCACAAATAACACCATCTGGGGCTTTGGGCTGGCCATCTAAAGTCATGGCCAAGGGGCAGAATGAGTCCTCAAACTGTGGGATCACTGCACCCTCCAGGTAGACAATGTCAGATCAGAATTGGATTGGAGGACATCCAGCTGGTGTCTGTTGCTGTGGCATTGCTTGCTTGCCAAGGGGAGAAATCCTCACACCTGCTGTGATCACAGAAGTCCGAGTTGATTGTTATGTTCTGAGAGCAGAGGAAAACAATTCCCTTTTCTTACACAGAGGC